AAACCCCAAACCCTAAACCCTAAACCCCAAACCCCAAAACCTAAACCCCAAACCCCAAACCCTAAACCCTAAACCCTAAACCCCAAGCCTCAAACCCGAAACCCTAAACCCTAAATCCTAAACCCTAAACCCCTAAGCCCTGCCAGGCTGACTCCTTCTGTCAGCTACAAAAGCATTTCCAGGGCATCGCTGTCCTCACAGCCTCTTGGGCGCTAAGGTTTTGGCTTTGGCTTTGGGGGAGGTCATGAAGTAATGTAATGTTGGGCCTTGGGGCCCCACTATACTATAAGGTTTTGGCTTTGGGGAAGTTATGAAGTAATGTAGGGGCCTTGGAGCCCCACTAGACTATAACCATAATTTGGGTGAGGTTATGAAGTAATGTAGGGGCTTGGGGCCCCGGTATACTAGAACTATACTCAGGAACCCACCAAGAAGAGTATTGGTAATTCTTTAGGCCCCTCTACTACATGGTGCGTTCAGAGTTTCCAGTTTTGTGAGCCTTCGGGGTTTAGGGGTTCGGGAGCTTGGGGTCGAGCTCGACCGGTTTATCCTTGTTTGTGTAGATGATAGTATCTGATAGGGTTTAGGGCTTAAGGGCTTAAGGGTTTAAGGGTTTAGGGCTTAAGGGCTTAAGGGTTTGAGAGTTTAGGGTTCAGAGGTTTGGAATTAGGGCTTAGGGCTTTTAGGGGTTTCAGGAGTCTAACCTAACCATAGCTGGTGTTAACGGCCCTTGAGTCATATCGTTTATCATCAAGGGACTAATTGGCTATAAATACAATACCCTTCTCCCATAGCGAAATCAAGCTGGACAATGTGTTGGAGTAACCTTCACAGAGGCTTCTCGATGCGCCCACCCCCACTTCAAGAGTGGATGTTTCACGTCGCAGTGCACAGTGTGGCACCATCTAATCTTCGCGAGGTTGCAGGTGTAGGGCTTAGGGCTCAAGCCACGCATCCTAAACCCTGAAGCCCTATAAACCCTAAACCCCATACGTTGCATCCCAAACCCTAAACCCTCAACCCTCAATTTCAGCTCGAAACCCGGGCTTGGCACATATTCTTGTGCAGACGCAGAAGTTAGATTCACAATCATGTTCTGCGAGTTGCATACGCACTCAGCGCGCAAGCACACATGTCAGCGAGAGAGAGAGAGAGAGAGTTTGTGTGTGTGTGTGTTTTTTTTGCTTTTTTGATAGCTCTCAAATCTAAATCCCTAAATCCCTCAAACCTTGCAGCCGATAATACAATCAACAGTCTATAGACAGATAGACAGGTATAGACCTTTCTACCGAGAAATCATAGCGATCCACTATCCTCCAAAATCCCACGAACCTGAAGCCTTGATAAACTCCAAAGCCTTCTCCCTAATCCTATGAAGCTTCAAAAACCCTAAACCCTAAACCTAATCCCTAAACCCGATAAGTCAAAAACCCTAAACCCTAAACCCTATAAGCCTCCAGTCTTAAAAGTTCAGCATGGCCAGTACTACTGTCAGTTTGAATCAATACCTAAACCGTAGGCCCGCAGCCCAGACACTCCCATATCCCTGAATTAAGGAATATACCTTTAATCTTATTAGGGTTCCTACTATAAGTTGAGGTATATTCTTTAATTAAGGGATATTGGAGTCTTTAATCTTATTAGGGTTCCTACTATAATTTGAGGTATATTCTTTAATTAAAGATATATTGGAGTCTGTAATCTTATTAGGGTTCCTACTATAATTTGAGGTATATTCTATAAGTACGGGATATTGGACCCTAAACCCTAAAGTCTAAACCCTAAACCCTAAAACCCTAAAACCCTAAACCGTAGACATACTGTTGATGGACAAAATCCTGCATGACCCAAATATAGTATAGTACCATAAAACCCATAGTTTTGGTATATAAGGTCATGCAGGATTTTGTCCATCAACCGTAATATAGTGGGGCCTTAATGATTTGAATAGGGTTTTGGGGTGTATTATACTATCATTGTAGTAAGGAGCACCCGAAAATAGCATTTGGGGTCTCTTGGAGCTTCAGGTCTTCGGCCTCTCTAAGAGAGTCCCTCTCCAGCCTGATCACCAAAGCGCGCGCGGTGCATAAGACGCTTGGGTTGCACCAGGGCCTGGGGATTTGAGGACGCTGTATGAGCTTTTGATATGGGCAACGTAGGGGGTCCTTTTTTAGGATCCTTTTTATAACGGTGCCGTACTAATTTGGGGACTTCAAAAGGGGCCCTCATATAGAGAACTACGTATACTGCGGTATAGCAGAAGTCCAAATGTTGGGAATCCCAGCACTCATTGTCCTTAATCGGTTTAGGGTTTAGGGTTTAGGGGTTTAGAAACTTTTTGGAATCTACTATGTGGGTTCTTAGCAGAATTCGATGAAGGTTCTCCCACGGGTTCGTTTCAGGGTTCCTCATAGTATGAGGGTTCTGTAAGGGGTTTTGGAGGGCCGTGAGGTTTTTGTTCATCCTCCATCCTAAACCCTAAAGCCCTAAAGCCCTGAACCCGAAACCCGATGGGCTTCAGGGTTCTAGGTGTTCAGGTTTGAAGAATTTGAGCCTGGTGCTTTGGATGTGGGCTTAGTTTAGTGCTTCGAGTTTTGGTGTTCTTCTGTTTGGGGTTTGCGGTTCAGGGCTTTGGGTTTCGGTTAGAGCTTCGTGTTTGGGTGTCCTGTATTTTTGGCCTGTGCTCCCTCTTACAAGCCGAGGTCTTGCGATGTTGTTTCGAGGTTTGGGGTAGGTTTTGCTTGACGGATGGATCCCTAAACCCTAAACCCTAAAACCCTAAACCCCAAAACCGGGTTATGCTGCACGGAGGTACAAAGTAGGCTGCAGAGCCAAGCTCTGCAAGGCTCATGCCCCAAGGTTTCAGGGTTTAGGGCTTTGGGTTTAGGGTTTAGGTTTAGGGTTTAGATTTTTTCCGTTTAGGGTTTAGGGCCGGGTTTAGGGTACTTCAGGGGATCCCACAAAATCGTGACCGTCGCTGTCAAGACCTTCGATTCAAACTTGAAAGTCGTAGTGCGCCTGTAAGTGTAATACAGGGGCGTCACTCATTAGTAGAGGGTTGGGGGGCTGTATGTTATAAGTATATAGCATCAAGAAGATGTTAAGAAGGGTTTGGGGTCTATAAAACCATGAAATCATTGCAGCTTGCTGGCCGTGCCTGTATTGCTAGCACGTGTTCAGCAAATTATGCAGACCCTGCAATCATTAGCGACACTCCTGTCCCCTAAACGCTATGAGGCCATGAAGCATTTTGAAATCCTGTCTTCAACGAACCTCGTTACCAACCCTCTAGCCCAACACCTCATTAAATTTATATTGTTACCTACCTGAAGGCTCAAGAAAGCTCCTTTATGGAAGCCACCGGTGCCTCTGGAAGAGGGTACTTTGGGTCCTAGAGTATCTTAGTACTGACATCATAGCAGTACATAAACCGAAAAACCCTGAACCCTTTAACCATAAGCCCTGAACCCTAAATCCTAAACCCTACAAGCCCTAGACCATAGTAGTTATTACATAAGCCCTACAAACCCCATTAACTCTAAACCCTACACCGTCTAAGCCCTAGACCCTAAACCCTTAAACCCTAAACCCAAAAACCCCAAACCCCTGAACCCTAAACCCCATAACCCCAAACCCTAGAACCCTACAAGCCCAAGACAAGGCAGCTGGACGTGGAGCTTGCGTCCCTGCAGGGGGCCGCGGCGGAGGCAGGGTTTGGGAACTTCTCCCTCGTCCTGGATGCAGGGGGCTTTGAAAGGATCTGGTCTAGTGTATGATCATCCCGATATAAACCTCAAGGTGGAGCTTTAGCTGTCTTGGGATACTGGACAACGAAGTCTTTGTAATGGAATAATAATAACAAGAATAAGAATAAGAGTATCACTGGTAATAACAGTAATAATAGTAAGGCACCCCTAAGGAGTAATGGTGATAAGTAAAGCTCCAAAGCCCGGAAAGCTCAACGCCGACAGCCCCTAGACACTCCAACTCTAGTCTCTTAGCCCTAAGAAACCAATATAGAGGCCGACATACAGTTGATGATATAAATCCTGCAGTACCCATAATAAGGAATAGATGCAGGGTTTATATCATCAACAGTAGTTCCGCGTAATATTCCCGTACCGTCTCCGTGCAATCATAGTAGGGGATGTGCCAACGCCTGTGCCAACGATTCCGGCCCCTGTCTGCAACCCATAAATGACACAGGAACCTCAGGCAAAAATCTGCAGACAGCACCTATGGTCGGGTCTAAAGTTTTGAGGTCTCAGGACCAGGAAATATAGGGGCCTTTATAATTCGAATAGGGTTGTGGGGTATATTATATTATAATTACAGCAAGGAGCCCCCAACATCGTATTGGTAATTATTTAGGCCCCTACAGTACCTATTTTGGGCTGTTTGCAGCACTAGTGAAAACATGGTCTTGCGGTTGGCGTCTAGGGATATGAACAGATCCTACGCCCTAACCTGACTCCTGAAGCCAAACCCAAAACGTCACAGCCGTGAGGTGGACCGGCACCTCGCCGCCACTTTGCGAGAAAGGCAGCCCCGATGTTGTTCTTAGGGCTTGGGAGTCTGGTAGATGGGGCTGCTTACGGTCAGGAGGGTCAAGCCTGAGGGTGTAGGCGAACCTATGTAGGGCTGGGTGGCTCATCTGTGGATAAGAGCTTCGGGCGGAGGATGTGGCATCCAGGGATTGCGATTCAGAGTTCAATGGTAGATTCCGGTGTTACAAGCCCGGTTGTTGATGATGGTGCCTGTTTACGGGGGCTTCCAATTAAAACATTTTGCTTCCGCATTTTACTCTAACCCTCAACCCCTAAACCCCATAACCTTTGGACCTTCAATGATGCAAACCCTAAACCCCATAATCTAAATTCCAACTCCCTAAACCCTAAAGCCTATAGACCCTAAAACTCGAAAAAAATAGCGCCGGGTAATTAAGTCCCATGGACCCCCCTTATAGATCCCTGCAAGGATCCCTTTAAGGATCCTTTTCGCGAGCCTTTACAAAAACTGTTCTGTAGGTAGTATTATTGGTACCCCTTAAAGGGTACCCCTTCTCAACCCTACTTTTGGCTCTCTTAAAGGGGACCTTATTGAGAGGGTCTATATCCCCAAGGGTCCCCCTAATCCTAGCTCCCACAAAAACTGTTTGGAACGGCGAGGTGTGCTCCGCCTCCGCCCGCGCCGCGGGTCACCGGCGCGCCGCGGAGCCTCGCCGGCCCGCCGGCCCTGGAGGTGAACTCCGACAGCTCCTAAAGCCGAAGCCTAGGGTTTAGGGTTTAGGGTTTAGGGGTTTAGGATTTAGGAACTCCGGTGGCTCCTAAAGCCTAAGCCTAAGGCCCATTAAACAGATGAATGAACATGTGCATGTGTGTATACATAGATATACAGATATAGTTAGATAGGTAGATAGATAGATAGGATGATAGATAGAAGGTGGCTAATATTGGGTCTTAAATGCGCTTTTTTGAAGGTGTTGCATGGATTTTGTCAGCAATATATATATATATATATATGTCTATATATAGGGGCCTTACTTACTCGTTTGGATACGGTTCGTTTAAGGGTTACAAGAGTTGCTATGAGGATTGCGTTATGGGTTCTATAGGTGGTAGAGGGACCTTAACTTTTGATGGGGTACATTTTCTACGCTTTCAAGTTTGATGTGTGGACTATAAGGGGATACCGTTGCTAGTTAGTTTAGCTCTAAACCCTAAACCCTAAACCCTAAACCCTAAACCCTAAACCCCAACTGTGGTTTATCTTTCAGGGTTTAAGGTCCAGGGTTTAGGGTTCGAGGTGGGGCACTTGGGGTTTCATGGGATTCGTAGAGGAGCGCGTGCAGTTTCAGAAAGGAGTTTAGGGTTTAGGGTTTAGGGTTTAGGGTTTAGGGGGGGTGATAAGTTATCTACATGGTTCTCAATTCGGTTTATTATTCGGTAAGGCATTCCCCCGCCCTGACATGCCGAGCCCCCTGTGGGACTTTCTTTGAAATAATGTTCCTATTGCTCAGGGTTCAATATGGCGGCCCGTTATTTGCCGAAACTCGCATGCAGACCCCTGATTGATACCCTGCGTAATCAGGATTATACCCCGAATCCTCTCGCCAAGCACTCGATGGGTCTATTGATCAGGTGTCCGCATTTACCCGGTAATTGCAAAGTGTATTCTAGGCAGTACTGACAACATTGACCATCATCAATGTCATAAAGATGTATTAATAATCTAGCCTCTGGCAGAGTATAGTCGATTGTAATCTTCAGTCAGTGTCACAAAGGACAAAACAACGCCAAGATGTTAGTGTGGTTTCAAACTTAGATAAAGCCCTAAGCCTGACAGGGCTCTAAACCCTAAACCCCAAGCCCTAGCCCTAAACCAGGAAATCCCTAAAGCCCTCAGCCTCATAGCCCCAAAATGGCCCTAAAACCCTTAACCCTAAACCTTAAACCCTAAACCCCAAACCCCAAACGAAACCCTATGGGAGCCCCCAAGAGCCGATGGCGTGGCAGGTTTCGAGCCGCGAGGCTGTCGAGGCGTCTCTTGGCTCCTTGCACGAGGCGACGGCGCAGTGCAAGTCCCGGCCTCAAGCTTCGGTTTATACAAGGACCCCCCAATGTAGAGCCCTTATGGTCCTCAATGGTGGGTACTTGGGCTGTAAATAGAGGGTAGTTGGGGGGGTCTAGGTAGAGGCTTACCCATAGGCCCCATAGTAGTTCCTTTTTGGGATTACCTTATAGGATTCTAAATGTGAACCCCAAAAAGGAACTACTATGGGGCCCATGGGTAGAGGCTTATGGCTCCTTTAAGAGATCCTTTAAAAGGGTTCCTTTAACGGTGTCCAAACAGGCTCCTTGCAGGGTTTCTATCGAGCAAAATACACGTCAAGTTTCGGGTTGTTCGGTTTGGAGTTAGGAGATCTATGAAAATCTGGGAGGGGTTGCATGGGTGGAGTTTCTTGAGACTGGGGCGTCGGTCAGACCTTGTTTTGCACTGCACTTCTTGGTCCTTACTGTGGTTAGCAGTATTAGTTGTAATACAAATAACACAGTCAGGATCACAAGAGCTTCGTTTTTTGTTTCAGACAGTTGCCAAGGGTGCTCTCTTTGTGACGCAAGTATGACCAGAAGAGCCCCTGCCTTCATTACAAAACGGGGGCCTGAGTTTACTAATACTGTCTGGTTCTTAGTAGGGAATGGGGGAATGGGTTATAGGGATGACTACTATAAGGGACCTTAAGGGATTATCATAGGGATCCATTCCCCCATTCCCTACTAAGCACCAGACAGAATAGGCCTCGTCGAACTTGCAGAGAGTTGTTCATCCTGAACCCTATACCCTATTATTCCCTAGTCTTGGTGTGGGAGCTGCGTGCAAAGCTAGCGGAACCCTAAACCATGTGTCGATTAGGGTACTGTTACCTGGCATTGCATCCTAAATCTTTGTTCGGCTGGGAAATTATGGCCCATTGGCTTCTCTAGAGGCTTTTGAGTTAGGTGTGTCTTGAAGGGCATCGGGAACCCCTGAACCCTACATTTATCATTTAGCAGTGTGGTTGCGCAACGCAGGAACCTTCATGACCTCTTTGGGGTGTAGAGTTTAGGTCTTACTGATATAAGGTGTTGGGTTTCTTATTTGGGGGTTTCGGGGCGCAGGAAGAAGCCCGATACCCTAAAGCCAAGTCTAAGGTGGTCCCTTGTCATTGTTTTCGGGGTTGATTGGGCGACATGAGGATGGTCCTCTCGCACATGGAGTTCCTACTAGATGCTTCCACACAGGCGGGGGGGGCCGGGCGGATATTGAGACGGTCAAATATCCAGCTTTCTGGGCCTCGGGATGGACTGTGTAGGGGTTGAGGGTTTCTGTAAATTTGCTGTATGTATGAATGCATGCATCTAAAACCTGTTACAAAGCCTAAAGTGCTGAACCGTAGATGCTCAACCCCTGACGCCAGCAGTTCACAGCACCCCTACTACTTCTACTACTACCACCACCACCACCACGACTACTACTACTACTACTACTACTACTACTACTACCACCACTACGGTGTCCCCCCTGGTGCGGCGCCCGCTCGCTCACTTCGTAGATGTTCAACATGTTCAATGAGAGCTGTCGCGGTCCAAGATGCGGCGTTGCAAAGACAAGGATCGTCCGCACCGCTGTAGCAAGTGTCAGCAGGTGGGACATAGTAAAGACAGCTCGCAGTGTCCTTCGTATGATGGACCGACGACCGACAAGCC